TCAGCTGTGCTTAAAAGCAGAGCCAAAGATCTAAAGACTAGCTAGAAAGCACGAAATCCCACCATTTCCTGCTTCCTAGCTAATCTAAATCTCCCTGCACAGCAGAACAGATGATGGTAGGAAAAAGGAAAAACAGAAATTTAGCAGGCAAGTTTACTGGGTAAGGAGTGAGTGGGTGGGGAGGGTTCCCACGGGCCATGTGGGCGGCGCAGCCTTGTGTTTCTGCGTAGCCTCCTGAATTGCTTTGGGGGCGTGCTCTGGGGGTGAGATTTCCCTGCAGCCCACCAAAATTTTCTCACGACCCACCAGTGGGCCGCTGCCTTAGAGGCTCCTGGATCCCTCCATTAGAGGTCAGTCCCCCATCCAACTGGTCAAGCGTGCAGAAACATCACTGTGTGGTTCTAGACATAGGGCATTAAAAGCAGCCAATGCTCAACCTCAAATGGCCTGCGGTGCCGAGGTTGAGCACTGAGGTTGGCACATGGGCAGGGCACCTTTCGTCTGTTCTTGGGCACAGGGGGGGAAGGGCTGAAGGTGGCTCCCCCTCCAAGAAACAGGATCCACCCTTCGCGCAGGGCGCATCTGACCGATTCCAAGCCAAGCTGGGATCTGGATCACTGGGGTTGGGGGGGGGGGGCTACCCTTTTACGACCCTGTAATAATCCCTTAATTCGGGTATTAGATGGAGCCGAGTGCCAATGCCTTTTTTCAAAAATTACAAATAATTGTAGTGGGATGAATATATATATATATTTATAAATAAATATATAAATATCACAACCCTGGGATGCGAGAAAGGACAGAGGGTCACCCCTACAGGATCCTGGCTTAAAGAGACCAAGGTTGACTCAGCCCCACTGGAATGGGCCACAGTCCGGTCAGTTTCTCAGTGATATCGGGTCTCAAACCTCCTTTCTTTCCTGCAGCCGTTCTGCTTGATTGGTGAGGGACTGCACCACGCTTGGTATGTTCTGGGCCACAGAGAGCTTACTGTTGTCTCCTGTGTTTTTCGGGGTGCCCTGCTCCCCCCAATGGATCAACCTTCCCAAGGTGGGCACTCTATGAGTGGGAGGTGAGCTACCCATCATGGTTCAGCCCACCCTGATACTCACATTTTGTTGTGCGGTGGCTCGATCGGGCGCTGCGGCTCCGAGGCGAGACCCCCGATGTCTAGGCCAGACCCCTCCTCCATGGGAAAGAGCGGCTCTGGGCTGCCCTGTGGGGGAAAGGGTTAATTTAGCAGGAAGGGGCCACAGGGACAGGTCTCCTAGCCGCCACCCCACCCCCCCAAATTCTAAGCTGTAGTGGAGCTGGGACCCCCGAGGAGACGCCCCCAGGAACGCCCCCATACTCGTTCTGGAAACGTCTCGGCCTGCATGCCGCGTGCTGGTGGTTGGTGTTGTAGGGTATGGCTGTGTGGCCTCGGAGGAGGGGATGGGGTGCTTCTCCCTTCTTCCCTGGGGCTGGAGGGGATCTCTTGGTGCTGGGCCTTGGGGCTGTGGGGTTGGGAGGGCTCTTTGGTGTGTGGAAAACTGTTGCTGTCCCGCGAAGCTTCATGGCTGCGGGACTGGAAAAGAAAAAAAGAAAAACAGAATTTTTGGCACTTCTTGGTTCTCCCGCTGTTCTCCAAAAAGGCTAGGTGGGTTAAGGTGAAATATAAGCCTTTCTTTTCTTTTCTTCCTTCCTTCGTCTTCCTCCCTTCCTTTCTCTCCTTCCTTCCTCTCCCTTTCTTCCTTCCTTTCCTTCCTTCCTCCCTCCCTCTTTTCTTTGATTCCTTTCTCCTTCATTCCTTTCTCCTTCATTCCTTTCTCTCCTTCCTTCCTCTCCATTTCTTCCTTTCCTTCCTTCCTCTCCTCCCTCCCTCCTTTTCTCTCCTTCATTCCTTCCACTCCCTCCTTCCCATCCCTCCCTCCCTCCCTTCCTTTCTTTCATACCTTCCTCTTTCATTCATTCATTCAATTCCTATAGAAGAGAATTCAGGCTGTCCTCTACCTACAACAGTTCTTTTAGTGACCGTTCAAAGTTACAACAGCCCAGAAAAAAGTGACTTAGGATCATTTTTCACACATATGACCGTTGCAATGTCCCCACGATCACGTGATCAAAATTCAGACGCTTGACAACCAACTCATATTTCTGACGGTTCACGTGACCCCAGGATCACGTGACCCCCCACCCCCTTGGCAACCTTCCAACAAAGTCAATGGGGAAACCAGATTGGCCTTAACAACCCATGTTGCTAACTTAAGAACTGCAGTGATTCACTTAACAACCGTGGCAAGAAAAGCCGTAAAATGGGGCACAATTCACTTAACAGCTGTCTCACTTAGCGATGGAAATTTTGGGCTCAATTGTGCTCGTATGTCGAGGACTACCTGTATTATGTAGCTCGGGCGAACGGTGGGGGTCCCTGGTGGTCTCTGAGCTGGGTGGTTTTCTTGCAGACATTTCATAACCAAACTAGGTAACATCAGTGCCAGATTTAAATCACTAGTAAAAAGGCTCAATTTAAATCAACTCGATTTAAATCATAACTTTTAAAGAGCAACTGTCATCCCTCCTGTGAAATTGTGTGAATGCATCAACACGGTGCATGTTATCTCAGCTTGCAGAGCTTGGATTTGTGGAATGAGTTTACCCAAAATGTAAATATTGCAGAATATATATAGCCTCGTGCTACATCACTAAGCTCCATTTCATGCTGAATAAACTAAAGTATGAATGTATCTCAAATAGAGATCTTCAGATAGATTTTTATTCCAAAGACATTTTATTAAAATAAATTTGATAAAACTAAAAAAAATCAATTTAAAGGAAAAAAAATCCGATTTAAATTTTAAAAAATCATTTTTTAAAAAAAAATAAATCATTTTTTATTTACCCTGAGAACTGACGATGCTACCTAGTTTGGTCATGAAACGTCTTCGAAAAAACCAAGCTCAGAGAGCAGCAGGGACTTCACAGAATATAAAATTAATTCTATGGATTTCCACATAGAAAAGGACCCCACGGTCATCCTCCTCATTTCCACAAACCCCACTTCCTTCTAGCACTGATGATGTTACCTAGCTGGGTCATGAAACGTTTGCAAGAAAACGGCCAACCTCAGACAGCAGCAGGGACCTCACAAAATATAGGATTAATTCTATAGATTTGCCAATGAAAATCTAGATACTGTGTTTCCCTGAAAATAAGACAGGGTTTTATATTTATTTTTGCTCCAAAAGACACATTAGGACTTATTTTCGCAGAAATATGGTTTCTAAATGCGGTCGTTTGGCTGACAATCTTAACGAGCTTATTTTGGGGGGTAGGGCTTATATTACGAGCATCCTGAAAAATCATCCTAAGGCTTATTTTCCAGTTGGGTCTTATTTTCAGAGAAACAGGGTAGACGCTCATTTGAGAAAGAATTGTTTTCAAGGAGGAAAATGTACGTTTATAAATGTTTTCATCTAATTTATACATAGTTTCTGCTGCCTGATCAAACACTTTTCACGCAGAAAGGAAGATATATCCTATAAAGGCCTCTGCAGTTTGTATACTTTCAAAAGATCGAGGGATACCAAGCAATTAAATGAAGATGCCTTTTTAAAAAAAAGCTGCTGGACTTTTGAACTTCAACGACTTGATATAAATTCTGGAGATATTTAGTCTTTTTATGAAATTCGTTGGCTTTGAAGACACTTGTGGACAAACGACTGGAGGGATAAGCACCTCTCAAATTGTATAACAACACACTGAAAAAATTGTTGTTGTTTTTTAAAAAGCATCCTGAAGTGCTTTAAACCAAGCTCCCTGCCTCATTTTCCTTTTTTTGGCAAGCTGTGAAATGCATCTTTTTTTTTTTAAGATACAAAACTTGAAAACGCTTGTCTAGAAACGAGAAGGAAGGTGGCTAAAATCCAATGGTTTCTTTACATCAAATGTTCTCATTATCCCTTGAAAAAAATCAACTACTTCTGAGCTGGAAATATACTGTGTTTCCCTGAAAATAAGACCCTGTCTTATTTATTTATTTTTTTGCCACCAAAACAGGCACCAGGTCTTATTTTCGGGGGATGTCATCCACTGACTAACCTCACTTGCGCACATCGCCCCCTGCCTCCTTTTCACTTTGAGAGGCTTTCAGGAACTACTGCAGCCAGCAAGGCTTTCCTGAAGGCCTCTGCAGCTGACAAACAAAATATAAACAAAATAATGATAAACAAAGCATCCGGAGCTTTATCAGCTACAGACACCTTCAGGAAAGCCTTGCCAGCCTTGCTGGCTGCTGAAGAAATGGGTGTCGGGGTGTGCAAGGCCTGGCTACAACTGTCCAAAGGTAAGTAGTAGGGCAGCTCCACCCCCCCATCCCCACCCTAGTTTAATTTTTACCCGTCCACTCTGGAGTGGGTGGAATCTTAATTAGGGCTTATTTGGGGGGTAGGGCTTATATTGGGTGCACGCGTAAAAATCAAGCTAGGACTTACTTTCAGAGTAGTTCGTATTTTGGGGAAATGGTATATATTTATTTTCAGAAAGCGTTTGGCACAGCCTTGCTCAAGTGGCAACGTCCCACAAGGCTCCTGCAGCTCTGATTTAAAAGCCCCTAGCACTAGGCCCTGGGTTCAAAACTCGGCCTTGTTAGCAAACAGCTATGCTGATTTGCTTATAAAGCTAGTTGACTTACGACCACAAGGGAGCACCAAACTTTCTGTCGCTGAGTGTATGTATAAAGCATGTCTGTACAACATGAAGTCCTCGACTTATGACCATAATCGAGACCCAAATATTTGTCGCTGAGTGAAAGATTTGTTAAATGAGTTTTTTCTACTTTTCTTGCCACCGTTAAGTGAATCCCTGCATTTGTTAAGTGAATAATATGGCCGTTAAGTGAATCTGGCTTCCCCCCCATTGACTTTCCTTATCAGGACAAAAAAGGGGATTGCATGACCCCAGGATGCTGCGATCGTCATAAATACGAATCAGTTGCCAAGCATCCAAAATCCTTAAGTCACACGACGAGAATGCTGCAACTGTCGTGTGTAAAAACAATCCTTGGTCACTTTTTTCCTGTGCCGTTGTAACTTCAAGCAGTCACTAAGCGAACCATTGTAAGTTGAGGACTAGCTGAAAAGCTGCGGAAAACTTGGAAAAACATGTGTAAGCAATAAATAGAAAGCTGAAAAAAAACGGAAGGCACAGGAAAAGTTAATATGTCATATGATATATGTATTTGCGTCATTGTCAGCTTTGGAAGCTATATTGAGATTCAATACTCCCACGCTGCCACAATTGAGCATGGGAAAGTGGGAGGGGGGAATTCATTTGAGTATATCTAGTTAGACAAAATAAAAATCTTTTGCTATTTCAAGGTCAGGTAGTGTTGCACATAGTGAAAAGGAAATCTTACTTTGGGATGGATGGTGATTGGGCCATGTGATGTGGTGATGGGTATGGGGGATGGATTTGTAGTTTTTACTTTTGCAAGGAAGCCCAAAACTTTCAGATTCGGGATTCCACAGATGTACCAGTTACTATCCAAATAAAAGGAACCTTTGAGAGATGTCTGTCTCAGAGTTATTGGTTGGAATGGAGGTTTGCTGGAATGCTGACATTATCCCGAATCTCTAAACAAACTCCAGCACCCTGAAAGGGGGCTGTCAGGGGTGCTGAGCCCCAGCACTGACTCAAAAAATGGAGCAGTGCGAAGTCTCAGTGAAGATGAAAGAAAGGGAGGAAGCTACAGAAGGGGCTATGGGGCCGGCCACCAGAGAACTAATTGAGCCCCTCTGCCCTGCTTCTGAAGAATTTTTGCAAGCGGTGGAAGCTGCAGAGGAAAGATGGAAGACTAGGCACCTGGCTCAAGGAGACGGATTCATGGAGAAGCTGCCAGACAGAGCTGAATCCAGAGATGGGACAGGAGAAGCGGCCTGAACACCTTTCCTACTCCAGCCCTGAGGACGGCCCACGAGACAGAGTGGAGAAGCGGGGGGGGGGGGGGGGGGGTGGTGCTTTGAATCAGACAACCCCCAAGACTGGAACCTGTTGCCTCCATCCCGAAGCCAGTTGTTGGCAGGGATCCCAGAGCAATTCCAGCAACTTAAGGTGGAAAGTTGTGTCTCACAGCCACAGCCTCTCCAGACGAGCTGGGTCCTAACATAGCCCACGTTCACCTTCCCTAGTCCAAGACTTGACAGTGGAATCAGCGTGGCGTTGGTCAGAGGTGGCCTAAGGATCGGCCCAGCATTGCAGGCCCAAGCAGCAAGGGAGAGACAGCAGATGCAGCCGACATTGGGTACGTTACAAACCCCAATTCCTCCCCCTCCACAGCTGTTAGGAATATGAGTCACCTAACAGCTATTTGGGTTGGAAATATATAAACCAGGATAGACATTTTAAAACTGCCTCTTTAAGAAAATGCAAAAAAAAAAAAAAATTGTAATTGGGTGTGGTTTCTCAAACGGCCATAAGATGGAGCCAGAAACCTGGGTTGTTTAGTCTTAGTCTCAGAATAGTGTGTGTCTCAGTGAGTCTCTTTTTCCTTCTGTTGGAGAGTTTTGCCATTCCTCCTAATTGACTGAT